CACCTGCAAGACTATATTACTTATATATTACTTAATACTCTATCTTACCTGTAGAGCACTGCACACCAGAACAACTAGACACAAGAAAAGTTTTTTCCCGAACGCCATCACTCCACTAAACAAATAATTCCCTCAACATTGTCAAACTACTTACTAAGTCTGCACTACTATTAATCTTCTCATCGCTCCCACCACCCATTTCCTTCCACTTATGACTGCATGATTGTAACTTTGTTGCTTGGAGCCTTATGATTTATATTGATATTGTTTCCTGATTGCTTATTTGTACCCTATGACTATCATTAAGTGTAGTACCTTATGATTCTTGATGAATGTATTTTTTCTTTTATGTACACTGAGAGCGTATGCACCAAAGACAAATTCCTTGTGTGTCCAATCACACTTGGCCAATAAAAAATTCTATTCTATTCTATTCTATTCTATTCTATTCTATTCTATTCTATTCTATTCTATTCTATTCTATTCTATTCTATTCTGAAACCATACTCAACAAACCATGCATTAGGGAGATCTAGCAACAGTAGTACCATTCATGGTGTATGCTCACAGAGAGCTGGAATCTTGAAACTCTGAAATTATGAATGATATAAAAAAAAATAATTGTTATGACTCCCAGTAAGTTCCTTTTTGAATGTGGATATTTACTAAGAAAGCTGATTCGAATATGCAGTTAGAGAGAGGAAGCTGGTTCAAATTTGCAATATTAAATTTGGAAATAACTGCAAATCTCACCTAATTTTGCTTAACGCATTGTAAGCCGCCCTGAGTCTCCGGAGAAGGGCGGCATATAAATCGAACCAATAAATAAATAAATAAATAAATAAATAAATAAATAAATAATTTTCACAGTGATCAGATCTTGTCTTTTCATCCTGTGAGTGAGTTCTGAACCAAGGACTGGTCAAGAACAACAGTAAGGATCCCATATTTTATATTGTAGCAATATTGAACAAAGAAAAGTGCCAGGCAACAAGAGGAAACAAAGAAGAATGGATAAATTTAGCCTTCTGCCCAATAGACTATTTGTAATGGTTAGGATGTTAGACAAGTTGAAGTCCTCACTCAACCACCACTTACTCTCTCTCAGCCCAACCTACCTAGGCTTAGATTAAAGTTAACGAAGAAAAATCAAGTCACAGCCTTGATTTCACAAGGGAAATAGAAATACATTTCAAATCCTTGCCTTGAAAAGGAAAGGAAAAGACTGGAACCAACTGAGGAAGTCTACAATAGCCTCTGGAGTTCCAAGATGTATTCTATGAATATAGGGTATCAAATCTTAAATCATCAAATTTTATAGCTGGCTATTTGGAGAAGGACTACCGCAAGCAACCTCTATAAATTCCTCTACTCTTTCACATCTTTCTTCTGCATTTAATCATCTTCTTTTAATGACCCCATAAGTCTGGGCAACCGAATGGAACTAGCAGAGTGTCAACTTGCAAAGCATTCCTGGCCTGCTCTTGAGTTGCCATAGGCCAGGGGGGATGGGAAACCGGCGAAATGGCACAGCAGCCAAAGACAGATGCACATTCCATGCTTATCTCTCTCACGGCTGTATCCCAGGGTTACCTACAGCAGCCCAGAGGGGAGTGACCTCTACAACCTGCGAAATTGCTCCGTTGGTGAATGTGATTGATGACACATCCTGGGGGAGGGAGGGGGGAAACAGGGTCATAATTGGAGTGTATATTATGTAGGGTCAGAGCTGGCTTCACTCGGGAACGTGCCAACATGAAGCTTCTAATAAATAACTGGATTTCTTTTGAAGCTTGGCTCGAGACTTATGATTTAATTAGGGCATCTGTCAGAACCCAGACACAGAGTGTTTACTGGCTGGATGCCTTTCCTGATGTCAATGTGGAGATTTGTTCAGCAGATATATTCTCATTGTGCCCAGAGAGAGAAATATCTGCCTCTACCTAAGATCAAACTCACAGCTTCCTGATTGTGAGGCAAGAGCTCCACCTCTAGGCCACCGCACCACTCCTTTCATCCACATTTAATGACTATTTTAATTTAATTTTTCAGATTCTTGAAGAGCGATAAATGAACAAGGTATCAATGCATTATTTATAAAGAGTGAGGAAAGGCTTGCATTGGGGTTGGTACTCAGATAACAACTGGTAAATTTTGAAATTTTGCTTAATAATTGCAACTGGGATTGTGGGGATTGCAGTTGCTAAGTGATGCAATCATCTGACATCTAGTTTTATGGCCACATCACTTAGCAACCAAAATTCCAGCCTATGATCCTTTGCATTCAGTAAAAGCAGACTGGGAATAAATGGTTCTTTTTTCACAGGTGTTAGGACCAACCAGTTTATTTTACTAACATCTTACACAACTAAATTTGTTCCACAATCATCATCTTGGAACTGATTTGGAATTCATCGTTTAAGTCATGACACCCCACCTAATTTATGGACTTTTTCTTTCTTTTCTGACCTGCATTCAGGATAATAACTTGCCTGATGAACTTGAAAACTTAAATTCTTTTTTGGGTCATTTTGGTTGATCTATTTTGGCTTGGCTTGTTTTTGTTTTGTTTTGAGAAGGTAAAGTTTAACGCCCATTTAAACATCTATTCTGTAATATTTCTATCGTGAGGTTTCATAAGGCTCAGAGGAGAAACCAATTACTTCTTCGATTAATCAGGCAAGACTGGATCAAGCTCAATCAAGGGAAAGAAATCTGATTTGGCAGGAGAAATCAAGGGATTACAGATAGTCCAAATCAACTTTCTTAGCTAAAATTTACTCATTTAGAACAATAGGAAGATCTAGACTTTATCATATAGATAAGACAAGATTGGTATCAAGTTGAGTTGATCCAAGTAGTTAAAATGTTACTATAGTTTGAATCCAAGATGATAAGATTAATTAGTGGACAGATATTGCAAGACGCTTTTGATCAAATCTCTTACATCTATTCCAATTTTGACTTCAAGTTGAGAGAAGATTATATAGTGCTGGATGAGTATTTACTTTCTTTTATATAAAAAGTGTGAGTATGGAAAAATGAGGATATACTTTTAAGAAGAGACTGGACAACCATTTGTCTAAAATGGTATAAGGTCTCCTGCTTGGATGAAGGGTTGGACTGGAAGATCTCTTGCATCCCTTCCAACTCTATTATTCTGTTCTGTTATTCTGTTATACTTTCCGTGATCACATGTATCCATGTGATCAAGCCCAAAGAATGTCTGGAATGGTATAGGATCTCTTGCCATGGGCAGGAGGTTGGACTAGAAGACCTCCCAGGTCCTTTCCAATCCTATTATTCTATGTGTTTATGGAGATTCTCAGTCATTCAGGTCATGGTTGTCCCAAAGGTGCCTTTTTAAGAGGCAAATGGACTTTCTGGTTTTTCTTTGAGGATGTTTCGCTTCTCATCCAAGAACCTTCTTCAGCTCTGACTTCCCCACCATCCATTCAGAGATGAAGAGGCTTCTTGGATGAGAAGTGAAACGTCTTCAAAGAAAACCAGAAAGTCCAGTTGCCTCTTGTGACCTATTATTCTATGTTCTGTGTTCTTACTCAGTTTCTTCCAGAATAAGTTTCATCTGTTTTGGTGTGAGCCTTGAAAGAAGTTATTTTATTTATTTACTTATTAGTTTGTCAAACATGTACAAGATAGCAGGTATGAATATAAACATGGACACAAATGAGGGAAACGAATACAAATAAATGGGGACAGTAGGACAGGGATGGTAGGCACACTGGTGCGCTTATGCACGCCCCCTTTATGGACCTCTTAGGAATGGGGTGAGGTCCACGGTAGACAGTTTAAAGTTGAAGCTGTGAGGGTTTGAGGATGGCTTTAGGTTACTTAGTCCCGTTTAAATGTTATCTACTGTAAAATCAACATGTAGTAAATCGTTACAATTAGTTATGGTACGATTAGGAAATGTGGGGCAGCAGCCATTGCTGTCAACGAAGACTGAACTGAAGAATGTATTGAAGAGGTTGGCCTTAACAGCTTCATTGTTACAATCTTCCCCATTAGACCCTTTTAGGGGTGGGATAGTTTTTGAGTTTTTAAGTTTGGCATTTACGAAATTATAGAAGGCTCAGATGGATTTTGAGTATAACAGCTCCTGTTTGCAATGGTGATTGGTACATTCTGCCTTTATCTGGCGGCATAAGGCTTTGTAGCGGTTTTTAAAGTTTAACTTCTTAGACAGTAGACTTAACAGGTTGGAATTATGTTGTGTCTGGTGGTAAAAGCTTTCCCTTGGGCCATGGATTTAGCCCTGTTATGATCCAGAGAATTCAGCATTACACAACTCAGCTGCTGAGAATAGCTTTGCCTAGTCCTTTCCTTCCTTCTATGCAAGCTTTTCCAACCTAGCACCTTTTAGATGTGTTGGTTCCAGTCTCTGCCTGTTCTGCAAGCATAAATTCATAACAGAAGGTGACAGAAAACAGCCAGTACTGATATCACAGCATAACAAAACATACACAGTATATTCCTCATCTTGGCCAGCTGGATTTCAGACAATGGAAGAGATCACCATGGAATAATACTGTATTGACTAACACTAGAATCCAAATAATTAAGCACAAAGCTTCTGCTTTCAAAATCAGCCCACATGAAGTGAAACAATGGATTCTTTCCGTAGCAGCATGAATGATATAGAAGCAAATCATCCCTATTTCGTTTCCATTAATTAACACAGAATATACTTGTCTCCAGAAGGACCAACTTGTGTATGCAAATATGTGTTAGGAAGCAATAGAAGGGCTTCTTTCTAATACAAAAAAGGGCTCTTATCATAACAGGCAGGTAGTCCATAATACATAAATCACCTGTTTTTCTTATTTTCCTCTTGCGCGATGTGAGGGAGAGTGCTCTGGTTGCACGAGACCTCCTTGTGCATAAGTTCGCGCTGGAGAGCATCAAATTAATCTCTCCTTGCTTGAAGGTGACCTTCCTGTCTCACCTTCTGCATTCTCCTTGAGTTGAATGTTTCCTACCTTGCGTGAGTAGCTGTAGGTTTCGAACTTCCTCCCTCACTTTCAGCTGGAGCACTTGCTGCAGAATGTGCTGACGTAAGCTCTCCTGAGCAATCCCCATTCGCTCAAGCTTTTTGTCGGTAAGCCTGAGCAGTGCGCGGCCTGGATCCAAAGGAAGAGACAAGAGGAAGAGGGATTACTCCAGGATTTCCGTTTAATGAATAAAAAAGAAAAAACCTACATGCTATCAATACCTTCATTCTAGGAGACAAAACCCGCCTGCAGCGCAAATATTCTCTCGGAAACAATCTGATTCACAATGGGATAGATTGAGGGAATAGGCGGCCCCGAAATATTTGTTGGCTCAGTGATTTAATTACATTCCACACTGGAGATCCAGGTTCAGAAGATGAAATAACTCATTGAGATTCCAGGGCCTGTACTTGTTATAGGAAAGGAGCTGTGCGTAATATGCTACGGTCAAAAGGAAGTTATGAGGACTGCACAATTGCTTAGGAGGAGAACATGAGAGGTGGTATTGAGCCGGTTCGGACCGGTTCGCGTGAACCAGTAGCAGAAATCGGCTCTATGCTGTCCTATTTAGGCACATTTTTAAGGCTGAGTACATGCGCGGAAGGTGCGTGCGTGAGCAAAGCGCATGGAGGGAAGGCTGGGCGCATGTGCCCACGCACTCACATTTTCGATGCTGGGCGAACCGGTAATTAAATTATGTGACGCTCACCTCTGGAGAACATATAGCAATAGCACTTAGACTACATACCATTTAAGACTTTACAGCCTTCTCTGAGTAGTTTACAGTGTCAGCCTATTGCCCTCAATGATCTAGGTCCTCATTTTACCGATCTCGGATGAATGGAAGGCTGAATCAACCTTCAGCCGGTCAGGATCGAACTGCTGCAGTCAGCAGAGTTAGCCTGCAATACTGCATTCTAACCACTGTGCCACTGTGCTTATATACTTAAATTCTCAAGTTCAAGCCCTGGTCTCTGTGCTTAGGAGAAACGTTTAGCAAGCAATGGAAGCTATCTTTGTTGAATAGGTAGGAAACAAATAGTACTTGTTGAGGGCTCATTTGTATGGGGTCAGTGTAAATTAGTTGTACTTATCTACAATATCTATTCTGCCAGTTAATCAGATGCATCCCTCACAACAGAAGCCAATGTAGACAACAGAAGCCAAAAATAGAGTAACACAATCACTTAAACTATCAAAAATATTTTAAAAAATAAAGTGCAACAGGAGAAACAGAACTCTAACACAAAACTTGCACGTACAACAGGAATGTGCTTGGGTGATGGGCTAGTGGAAATATCACTTAATAGGAAACAAGTTGATCTGGAACAATCTTCAAGAGGACTATAAAGTCCCATCACTTCATCCAACTGACTTTGTGCCTAAGGTGGGACTAGAACTCACAGTCTCCTGGTTTTCAGGCCAGTACCTTAACCACTAGATTTTAGATAGCCATATCAGGAGAAATATTTTATTTTGGTATGGCTCCCCTTTATTAAATAGTAGCAATCCTAAAATCTAACCCTGAGCTAATTGTTTGTGTACTATCCATTGGGTTTGAGTGACGTTGGGAGAACACCAGCTATCCAATACCATGAAGAAGCTTCCAGTTCAAGAAGAAAAAAGTTAATAAAAACTGAACATTTTAATTCCTGGAAGTGTTTCAGCAAATAATTTATTGTCCTGATGGGAACTATATTGATCCTTTACAAATCTTGGCTATAAAAGACTGTTAAGACCGTTCTGTTTTTCAGTTGAACCTATTCAGGAAGGCTTGATGATTTGAAGAGGAAGAAATAATCATAACTCGAATTCCCGTCTGAAGTATAAATTCAAGCACAAATCATATTAAGTTGCTTTGGAAATGCATTGTAAAATGTAAGACAGCCATTTTTAGAGCTTGCAGGAAGAACCTCAAAGACCCACAAGGCAAATTAAATGCAAATCTAAAACTTTGGCAGACAGACATATAAATTTACATTACTTGTTCCTTGTACATTTACAAACTCATTTCCTAGATGCACTAACTGTTCAATAAATATGGCTGTAAGTAACGTCCTCTCTGAGGTAAGCTCAACTCTTGGTAACTTCCTTGACACATCCATGCAGTTTTCTTGGAAATTGCATGGAGATATTTTACTGCTGTTTTCTTCCAAAATGTTTTTTGACTACTGAATCTAGCCTCAAGTTCTTAGAGTTCTCAGTGGTCTCCCATTCAAGTGTGAATGATGCTTGACCCTGCTTAGTGTCCAAATCTGGCCAACATTGGCCAAGGTCAACTAGCTGCTAAGGCTATAGATTGATTTTCTTTTCTTTTTTTTTAAGTTTAAAAACAAACTTTATTGAATTTAAAAATATTAACAAACAAAAACAAAAAGAGAGAATATACAAATTTTCTCTCTCTTAAAATTTACATTTTCAATCCATAATTACACTAACAAACTAAGTACATATAATTATATAAACACATATATACAAATCTACAAACAGTGACTTATTTACCTTTTCTATCTATCTGACGGTGCATTTTTTTTTTTTTTTTGCATTTCCTCTAATTCTTATCTTTACCCTTTTTTCCTTTGGTTTATCCACTTATACCATCTATTCCATACTATAAAATACTTTGAGTCTTCCTTATCTTTTAATTCTAGAGTTAACTTATCCATTTCTGTGCATGTATAAATTTTTTGTATTACTTCCTGATCTGTTGGCATACGATCTGTTTTCCACAATTGTGCTATAGCCAATCTGGCCACCGTAATTATGTGTAGTGTCAAGTATTTTATGTCTTTTCTAATATTCCTTTTTATCATATATTTGAAGTACTCAATATATATGCCATGTCCCATGGCATAGGGTACCTTCGAGACCGTCTTCTGCCACCAATAGCCTCCCACCGACCAGTCCGTTCCCACAGAGAGGGTCTCCTCAGGGTGCCATCAGCCAAGTTATGTCGGCTGGCGACACCCGGGAGAGGGCCTTCTCTGTGGGAGCCCCAGCCCTGTGGAATCAACTGCCCCCGGAAATACATAAGATCTCCGACCTCTGGGTGTTTCGCTGCGCACTGAAGACCCTGTTGTTCCGCCAGGCAGGGCTATCAACATAATAATTTTAAATTGGGGTATTTTAAATTTTTGGGGTTTTAAATCGGCCAAATCTATTTAATTATTTTAATTTTTAATCATTGTTGTGTCCTGTGTTTTTAAATTGGCTGTACACCGCCCTGAGTCCTTCGGGAGAAGGGCGGTATAGAAATAAAATAATAATAATAATAATAATAATAATAATAATAATAATAATAATAATAATAATAATAATAATTTATTATTATTATTATTATTATTATTATTATTATTATTATTATTATTTATTTTATTTTCAATTGGACAAACCCTGATCTGTTGGATCATCATTTCCTAGATAGTTCCTCTTACCTAAACAGAGAAACAGAATGACCAAGGATAAAAGAAGCAGTAGGACTGGGAGTGAGTTTTGATTTCCTGCCAGCTTCACCATGGCTGACACACACACCCTTTAGCAGATGATGGTGGGACCAGTCTACCCAGCCTCCAGAAAGCTAGAATGGGACCAGTCTACCAGATCTCCAGTGACCAAAGCAGGGGCTGGTCTACCAGGCCTCTGGAGGGTTATGCCAGGACTGGTCTGCTAAAACTCCAAGCAGTGGTGTGGAGGCGGATCAGTACTGAATCAACCATAAATTTGCCAAATTTCAACCCAACAGGAGTCATGGATCCCAGATTTTGGATGCCTTTTGTAGGTTAGTCCAGTGACCACATGATTTACTTAACAACTGTGGCAAAATACAAACTGGGCAGAAACGATCTTGTAGACGACCCTCACTTTGTCAAGGATCTAGGAGTACTTATCTCAAATGATCTAAGCCCCAGAGCTCACTGTAACAGCATTGCCAAAAAGTCATTAAGAATTGTTAACCTAATCTTGCGAAGCTTCTTCTCCAGTAACATTGTATTGCTAACTAGGGCATACAAAACCTTTGCCAGACCAATTCTTGAATACAGCTCATCCGCCTGGAATCCACACTGTATATCAGACATTAACACGATTGAACAGATCCAGAGGTATTTCACGAGAAGAGTACTCCACTCCTCTACTCGCAATACAATCCCTTATGCCACCAGACTTGAAATTCTGGGCTTGGACAATCTGGAACTGCACCTCTTGTGGTCCGATCTAAGCATAGTACACAAAATTGTCTGCTACAACATCTTACCTGTCAATTACTTCTTCAGCTTCAACCACAATAATACATAGGCAAACAATCAATACAAATTCAAGGTAAACCGCTCCAAACTCGATTGCAGAAAATACGACTTCAGCAACAGAGTGATCAATGCCTACCTGACTCCATTGTTACAGCCTCAAACCTCCATAGCTTCAACCTCTAACTGTCTACTGTGCATCTCACCCCATTCCTAAGAGGTCTGTAAGGGGGCGTGCATAAGCGCACCAGCATGCCTACCATCCCTGTCTTACTGTCCCCATTAGCTGTACTTATTTCCTTTGTTTATGTATATACCTATGTTCTGTCCCCGTCCCACACACGCACCCCCACAGACGGCCCGGAGTTAATAAGCCACACGACAAAGTCTTTGAAGATAAAGCTGGCAGCAACCCAGTGGCTAGCTGCCAATTGAGACTTTACTCACACAAAACAAAGATTAGACTGCAAGCATTCCGATAAAGCAGGCAAAGTTTCAGCAATACAAGGATTAGTCCAAATGCAGTCCGACAAGGCAGACAGAAGTCCCGTAATGCAGAGATCATGGATTATTTCTAGTTTTTGCTCGTCACAAACTGAACCAGCCACCACACCCACATTTATACCCTGTGGGGCATGGTCCAGTGACTCAGCTAATCTCTGGCACACCTTCCCCTCTGCTCCGCACACTTCTCCCTGTGCCGCTGCTGAGGATCCAGCCAGCACTTATCTCCTTCGTCGCTGTCCACCTGTGGTTGCGGGGACGTGCTTGGCTCTGGGCCTATCTCTTGGCCTTCGGTGTCCTCCGGAGGCATTGCCAGAGAGGAGGGTCCTGGAGAGGGAGGCCTTGCCAACTCCTCTCCCTCACTCTCAGAGTCTGCATCTGTCG